AAACTCTCGATCATTGCTGAAGCCAACGCAAAATTCTGTTATTGAGCTCTCCGTGCCATCTTCAGTAGAATTATATGAAGTAGACGAGACAGCATCCATCGATATGAGGCAGAAAAGCAGCAGTAAGATATATGAAGGCCCAGCAAAATCACTTCTTGAATATTTGATTATCAAAAAACCTTAATTTTTTTTAATGCTTTTTGATTTACGAATTTTGCAAATTATATACAAATAAAATGTACATTAAAAAAAACGCTAAAATATGTTTCTGAGGTGATTAAAATATAACAAACTGTTTATATTAATTATAAAAAATAAATAAAAATTTTAAATATTGAAACAAAAATATATGTAAATACTTTCTACTTTTCTTTTTTAGTAAATTGTTTAAAAAATTCCGAAGCCTTGTGTTAACACACATGGCACATCCAAATGCCACATCTAGTTTTTCATAAATCATCGAATGATCATGGAGTCAAACCATTTGTCTGCTCGAGGGCGCTAGTTTCTTTTCCAATCTAACAATTCATCCGAATTTGAACTTTATGCAGTATGGCAAAATTTAGTTCCTTTTTTCACCACCGGCAAAACAGAGAACTAGAATCCTCTACTGCGGGCGTCTCAGAAATGGACAACATTGCAGCTATTGGGTAGTTACATTGATATTATTGCACTTTATCCTCATTTTGATATATTAAACTGTGAATGATGAACAATTATACATATTTCAACAAAAAACTGACAGTAAATACTAAAATTTTTCATACATTTCAAGTCAACTTTCCGCAACCTGCATTTTAGTTCTAAGATAGCGGTTTGCTTTCACACAAATTAAAAAACCATTTCACACGTACTAAATGAGATAAATCACAAAATGAGGTTACAAATAGGAAGGTTACATATTACATATACAATTGGCTATATTATAATAAATCAAAATCTGTACGAAATAATTGCAAACAACTGCCATGTTAGCGCGCGTCAATCACACTGATTGGTGACTCAAGGTACAGACGAAATAAAGACATGATATTGATAAAAAATTCTACTAAAGTGTGTGAGCTGGGGGATTTTTGTGCTATCCATTTTTATCCTATACACATCGACATATGGTACAATGAGTTAGACATAGTGCATAATGCTTTGTTTCTTCATTAAAAAAGCGGGTAAAAAATGACTAACACTTGGACACGCGCAGTCAACGGAGATATTTTCGTGTCCAAATGTTAGACATCCGCAGCTGAAAGGTTATTATAATAACAAATATATAATAATAAATATAATAAATGAGCAAATTAAAATGAGCACATTCGTTGTATTATTTGGGTATATACCTAACCTCAAAGTCACCACTAGACGCTCCTTTGCAGATATCGGTTTCCGAAACTGTGTCATTTGTTTTTCGATATCATTTTCAATCAGACTAAGAAGAACATCAAATTAGTTTTCATTCATTCTTAAGTACATTTTGTAACGTTTATCATCTTTTTGTAAGTCTGGATACAATGTATGAAATTCACCATACTCGAGTCGTTTTACATTAATATCATGGACCCAAACACTCCTTTTCACTTTTTTTTTTGGAGGACAACATAAGGCAGCTGCCGCTAACTCTATAAATTCGTCCTCGCTGTCGCTGCTTGTCATGTTTCTCGATTGAAACACCTTTATAGAATGACTGAAGTGAGGCGTCCGAAGACGCCGTCTTAACTACCGTGCACACCGCTAAGCCGCGACTGTCAGCCGCGGCTGACGGACGCGTCCGATAATTTGTTCTCAGCTTTATTCTAGTTGCGATATCTACATTTTTTTACTTCATCTGAGATTACAGTGTTTCATGCTCAAATTTACAGTGTTTACGACAAAATTACAGTAAAAGTAAAAAAAAATACAGTGAATTTTACAGTAGACTTCAAGAAACTTTTATTATCTTTTATAAACTAAAATACTGTTTTAATTTCACCTTTTGTAATTTAGAATAAGCATAATACCTATATATAATTATACATTAATCAATCACTGTCACTATCATGTAGCCCGATATCCACTTCTTTTTTGTAGATCCCAGAATTAAATGATTTTATCATTTTCTCAGTTGGTTTAAAGTTAACGCAACTGGTGCTGTGACGACGAATGGTTTGTTGCGCTAACATGTTGCCTCTTATTGTCCTGGTTATTAATCTATTTCGTTTCTTGGTTTTGGTGTCGTTAATTTGACTGAAAATTCTCTCGCATTCCGCATTGGAGTTAGGAAGAGCCAAGATGTTGAGCATGTATTTTCCAATCAAGCGGAACTTGTCCAACTGTTTCACCTGAAAAGCAACATTAGTATTAAAAATATTGTATTTTGCAAACGAAAGAAATATATTTCTAAAATAAAATATAGAGTCTTAGTTACTAACCTTGTGCCAGAATTCATCAGGCCGTATTGCAGCATCGAAATTTCCTTTTAACTTTGGCAATTTTCTCCATTGGTCATCCAAAGCTTGTTGTTCTATCATAGAAGTTGGTGTCAATCTTGGCATTAAGCTTAGTATATTTTGAATTGATTCATCGCGATCTGAGATATTGAGACATGTTTCAGGATCTAATTTGGACATCCCAACCAATACTGGATCATTTAGCGCGAATCTTTTGCGGATGCCTACGCACGCTTTAATCAAAAAATTTCGGCATTTCTTTTTGAAATCCTTTTTTTTCTCTGCTGCTATTTCATTTGTTGATTCCGGTTCCGGTCGTCGATCAAGCTGAGAACAAATTATCGGACGCGTCCGTCAGCCGCGGCTGACAGACGCGGCTTATTTGAATCTAGCCAGTACATTTAATACTACATTGTGCAAACTATCGGTCGTAAGACGCGGACGTGCCCTTGGGTCGTCCTTGAGCGTTCAGACGTCCGAACAGAATCTAGCCGGCTGGATATTTGTGCGTCCCCGGACGGTGTGCACAGGCCACGGGACGCGTCCGCGGACGTTTCGAGCGTCACAAACGAACCGACCGCGCTCGCGACATGTCAGACGAAGAAAATTTAATTGAATGTGTTCGTGGCCACATAAATACTACTTTAAAACAGGAAGTGTGTTAAACATCATTTTCAATCAGACTAAGCAGAAAATTAAATTGGTTTTCATTAATTCTTAAGTACATTTTGTAACGTTTATCATCTTTTTGTAAGTCTGGATACAATGTATGAAATTCACCATACTCGAGTCGTTTTACATTAATATCATGGACCCAAACACTCCTTTTCACTTTTTTTTTTTTTTTTGGAGTACAACATAACTCTATAAATTCGTCCTCGCTGTCGCTGCTTGTCATGTTTCTCGATTGAAACACCTTTATAGAATGACTGAAGTGAGGCGTCCGAAGACGCCGTCTTAACTACCGTGCACACCGCTAAGCCGCGACTGTCAGCCGCGGCTGACGGACGCGTCCGATAATTTGTTCTCAGCTTAAGTCAATACGCACGTCACAGAGCTCCGCGAAAAATAAAAAATAAACAGTGTAAAAAAGTGCCAACAAAGTGTGTCATACGAACTATTGACTACAACAAAGTACAAAATACGTGATCAGTGAAAAAATTACAGAATAATTGTTAAATTGCGAGAACTAATCAACCGTAATTGTAATCATTCTAACCTAAAAAATACCGTCAAGTGTCAGGTGTCAGCTGATGCAAATTGTACATAGACTATAGAGTGGAAACTACAGTACCAACATAACAAACAGCAAAACAAGTGTTGCCATAGTAAAACAAGTGTTGCCATAGCAAAACAAGTGTTGCCACAGCAAAACAAGTGTTGCCACAACGAAACAAGTGTTGCCACAACGAAACAAGTGTTGCCACAGTGAACCAAGTGTTGCCATAGCAATATAAAAAAATACCAAAGATGGAAAAAAAGTATGGAAATCCTATTGGCAAAATTAGACGAAAAGTTAGACCAACAAACTAAACTTATAACAACTTCAGTAACACAAAATGTCATGGCAGCACTAGACGAAAAGCTTAAAGTGGTCACCGAAGAAAACGCCCAACTCAAAAATAAAATAAGCGAGCTAGAGTTAAAACTCAAATTCGTTGATAAGGATAAGCGCAAAAATAACCTTGTCTTTTTTGACATCGAGGAAGGAAAAGCAACAACAGAACCAGAGCTAGTAGACTACATAAAAGACATTATATTAGAAATGGGAGTACATTTTGAAGTCTTCGAAATTAATAATGTTTACAGAATCGGTAAAAAGAGCTAGATAAAAATCGCCCTGTTGTAGTCTCACTCACAACTACATGGAAAAAACATATGATTCTGCGAAACAGATCTAATCTGCAAGAAGGTGTAAATATCAAAGAGGATTACCCTAAAGAAATAATAGAAAAACGTAAACAACTGCAGCTGCAAGTTGAAGAGGAAAAGAAAAAAGGGAATGTAGCCTTCATAAAATACGACAAACTGATAATAAGGAAAACACACGAAAGCAACAGAGAAAAAAAGGAAAAGAGAGACTTCAAGATCACCGAAAATACCATCACAAAAGAAAGTCAATGCAGGTAGTACCGAAAGTACATTGACCACCTTAAACAACGCCCCCTCTAAAACTGCGACAAAGGATATCATCAGACCAAACAAACTGAACTATGTAGAGCGTGGGGGATCAGCTTCATTATCAAATCTCTCAAAAAACTAATAAGCGACACCCGGATCCAAACAACCCTAACAACCACATTACCAAACACAACACTCATAAATTGCACCCCAAGCCGGCTTGTCACCGTGGGGGAAGAACACAAACACCCTCCATCTAAATCAAAACATTATATTTCGAAACACCCTAAAGCAAACATATTTAATAAGAAAACAATACAGATAGAACAAGGTAAAAAGATAACTGAACATATAAATGTCTGCACACTGAATACTCGGACACTAAGAACAGAAGAGAGCCTAAAAAAACTAGAAATAGCCATATCTAACACAAAATGGGACATAATTGGCATTAGCGAGATGAGAAGGCCAGGAGAAGGGATAGAAGAGAGGAACGACTATATCATGTTTCACAAAGGAGAACACACCGGACAAAAAGGAGTAGGTTTCCTTATCAAATCTAAACTGAAGAAGAACATTATGGAATTTGAAGGAGTTTCTGACAGAATTGCTGTAGTTCATTTAAAATTTCCAGGGTACAAGAAAAACTGGGCTATCTTTCAAATATACGCCCCAACAGAACAAGCGGGGAAATCAGAAATAGAATATTTCTATGAGAGTATCTCAGAAACAATAAGACCGCATTACAACAACAACATAATTATCATGGGCGACTTTAACGCACAGGTTGGAGAAAGGCAAACTGGAGAAGAATCCTCAATCGGGAAGTTTGGGCATGGCAAAAGAAGCCAAAATGGACAGAAATTAGTAGAATTCATGATGGAAAATAACGTTATTTTAATGAACTCATGTTTTAACAAAAAAACTAAAAGCAAATGGACGTGGTCCTCCCCAGGCGCAAAATTCAAAACTGAAATTGACTTTATTATAACCAACAAAGCAAGTGCGTTCACAGATACCAACATAGTTAAAAACCTCAACTTTAACACAGACCACCGTATGGTAAGAAGCTGCCTAAACATAAACCAACCCAAAATATCCAGGAAAAACCTAGTAAACAATAATAAGCTGTATCAAATATCAGAACGCAATCATTCTACTAATTCCCGCACAACAGAATCACTCAATGAAATTATTACTTCCGACGCAGAAACTGGGATTAAATACAGGAGGCTACAAAACAAATTCAAAGATATGCTAGTCAGCAAACCCAGAAGCAAAGAAAGCTATTTAAGTAAAAAGACACTAGAACTATTAGACGAAAGAAGAACACTAATATCAAATAAAGAGGACAAAGAAAGACGCCAAAAAATTGCAACCCTTAGCAAGGAAATTAAGGAGAATATGAGGAAAGACCGAAAGGAAGAAAGAAATAGAGTTTTGGAAGAAAATATAAAAAGAACAGGAGGAACAAAAAAGGCTATGAAACAATTAAGCGAACATGGAAAAGAATGGATAGCGAAACTAAAGCAACGCGAATCCTACTCAACTAATCGACTCTCAATACAGAAACTAGCTACGGACTATTACCGCCTATTGTACTCAGATAAATTCGATTCAGGGATGGCCACAATTCCGGAAGTAAACGAAGTAAAAGAAAACAAAGTAGATGAAGTGCCAGAAATACTTACATCAGAGGTAATCAAGGCAATAAAATCCCAAAAACTCAAGAAAGCCCCAGGACCGGACAAGATACCTAATGAAATGCTCAAGGGATCCTTGAAGGAAATCAGTCCTGTTCTGGCAAAACTTTTCAATAAAATCTTACAAACAAGGCAAATTCCAGAAGAATGGACCGAGTGTCACATAATTCTACTACATAATAAAGGTCATAGAGACGAGATTGGGAACTATAGGCCGATTTCTCTTATATCAAACATATATAAAGTACGAGTATTTGCTAAAGTAATCCTGGAAAGAATATCATTAACACTCAACGAAAACCAACCCGTAGAGCAGGCAGGATTCAGAAAAGACTTCAGCACAATAGATCACATTCACACAATAAAACAGTTGATACAGAAGTATAACGAATACAATAAACAAATCTACTTGGCGTTTATAGATTACTCAAAGGCATTCGACAGCCTCAGGCACCAATACATATGGCGGAGCCTTGAACAACAAGGGGTCCAGAGCAACTATATAGAAATACTTAAGAGTATATACAAATCTAGCAAGGCCAGTATTAAACTAGAATCAACAGGAGAACCATTTCCTATCAAAAAGGGCGTACGCCAAGGCGATCCTTTCTCCCCTGCGCTATTTAACGCCGTACTCGAGCACATCTTTAGACAGCTAAACTGGGACCACTTAGGTCTCGCCTAAACCATCTAAGATTTGTCGATGATCTGGTGCTTCTTGAAGAGAATCCAGCAGCAATAGAACAAATGATGCAGAGCCTAGCAAATATAAGTAGAGAAGTTGGTCTGGAAATCAATGCCAGTAAAACAAAATTAATGTCAAACTCAAGGGAAATAGATGTTATGGTAGATGGCAACAAGATCGAATATGTCAAAGAATATATTTACTTAGGACAGATAATATCTCCTTCAGATGAAATGACAAAGGAAATAAACAGGCGAATAGCCCAAGGATGGAGAAAATACTGGTCACTGAAGGAAATAGTGAAAAGTAAGGATCTAGGAAATCACATAAAAAAGAAAACATTCGAGACCTGTATTCTACCAGTTCTTACTTATGGCTGTGAAACTTGGTCAACAACACTTTACCATAGGGAAAGGCTAACAAAATGCCAACGTGCCATGGAAAGAAGCATGCTAGGGTTAAAAATCAAAGACAGAGTCAGGAACGACGACATTAGAACAAGAACAAAACTCACAGACATTCTTACCCGGATAAACGTCCAAAAATGGAGATGGGCTGGACATTTGCTACGCCACCCCATTAACAAATGGAGCAAGCAAGTCACTCTCTGGCAACCAAGAGACGGCAAAAGAGGCAAGGGTCGTCAAGTCAGGAGATGGGAAGACGACTTGAAACAGACAGCGGGACCATTCTGGTTGAGAGTAGCAAGGGACAGGAACCATTGGAAGAAATTGGAGGAGGCCTATGCCAAAAGGCACACCGAACTTAGGGACCTCTTGTAACCCTATGTTTAGGAATAAAAGGCTATTGTTATTATTTCATTTGTTGAAAACTGTTTAGATACTCCCAAGCCAAGGTAGATGTCATCCAAATTTTTGAAATTGTTTTCGTCAGTTGGGTCAATTTTTTCTAGTTCAGTGTTTGCAATATGTGCCGTTGTCATATATGTCGATAAAAGTTCGTGAAAGAGATCGTTCATTTTAGTGTAAGTTTTGTGATCATTGGAGTGTGACTCTGAAATAGCGTATTAGTTTCAGTAAATTTAGGTAACATCCAGTTTAAAAAGAAAAAGTATGGTTTTGTTATGGGATCATTCAACTGCATATGGATTTCGGAACATTCGTTGTCTTCAAGCCATCTTCCATCAAAAACCAGTGTTAGTGCATTCCACTGTTCTAAAATTCTTTGCACTACAGCACTTAGTGATAACCATCTCGTTTGAGCCGGTTTCAAAATTTTGTGTATATCTGTTTCTGTGAATAGGTACTTGAAACTCTTTTAATAGCGATTGTCTTTTGCTACTGGTCGCAAAATAATTGTAAATATCACGTGTTAGCTTTTCACATTCAGCTGGTAACTGTTTGCATGCGTCACTCGCACAAAGATGCAGGGAATGACAAACACATTTAAAAACGATAATTCCGGGACATTTTGCTCTAAATCGACTCGAAACATAGTTGTGACACCCTATCATAGTATTACACCCGTCTGATCCAAATCCTATAATATTTTCAATAGGAATAGAATTTTCCTCGAAGGATTTTATTACTGCTTCGAAAAGATGTTGTGCTGTGGCGGTAGCTACCTGAGTAGAGTTTTCCTCGCCATATATTTGAATTAGGTCCCAAAATCTGCTAACAATTTGACCTTTTAGTGCACAGTAATATGTGACCACAACATACATAGTTTTTACTGCTCCGATATCAGTGCTTTCATCAATCATGACAGAGAATTTTTGCTCCTTTAGATCTGCACACAAATCTTGTTTTTCCGATTCTCCTAGAATATTGTTTATTATTGCTTGACATTTTGTTCTCTTCATTTTCATATTTTTTGCAATCTGACAGTCAGGAAACATAGTGGGCAATAAATCAACAATCATCAGATGAATTAGGCATTTTAAATTCTCAAGTCCTTAAACAAAATAACCACTTGCACCAGTTTCACAGAAAGACTTGAAAGAGTCAAATAAAAACATTGCATACGAAACCAATTTACGATCATACTAATTTAAGTTAGTCCCAATAGCCTTGAAAACAAAATTAAAACACGGTTGACACAATTTGGGTGGTTAATACTAAGAAGTGGTTTTTAGTCTATGACGGGAAATTCCCGCGTAGTATCCACCACCGCCGCTAATCATGCCCGTTTAAAGTAAGAGATATTCGTTCTTATTACAATAGAAACAAGTGTTGTGACATATGCAGAGAGGTGGCGCGGGCTCTAGTAGCCAGTTGCGTTTTGTTATGTTCATGTTATTTTTTCTTTTCACAAAGGCTGCGTTCAGTTTACATTAAACTATTTTGATTTTTGCCTGTAGAAAATTACAGTGCTCTCCATACACTGTAATTTTAGTATTACAGTAGACAGTAGATCGTGTGAAAATACAGTAAATCTGCTGTAATTACAGTGTATCTGGCTACGCTGGTGCCTTCACCTACTAACTTTCCTATATAAAAAAGTACTCTGTGCCTACTAACCTATTGTTGTTGTTGTTTTTACTTTTTATTATTCGCTCGAGAGAGCAGGCAAAGGAACTAAGCCATACAGCCTTGTCTTTTTTATATGGCTAGTTGAGAACAGAAGTGATCCAAGTAGCATTTTTTAGGAAACTGAGTTAGGTACCTTTTTGGGCTTCATACACCTCAACTTAAAGTATGTAGAAGTGATCCAAGTGCTATCGACATTTTTATTTAACAAAGTTTTGTTTTCGACATTTCTGTTCTTTCTCAAAGATTAAAAAAATAAATGTTGAAGTTGTGGCGACGCACACATTTATTTATTTTATTTAAAGATATGATTATTATTTCACAGATATGTATGTATATAATTTAATATTAATATTATAATATTTATTATATATATGTTTATCTATAATACAATTACAGTCACACACACATATATTATACTATTTCTATTTATTATAGTAAATTTTATTTAAGTATTGTATTATAGTATAATTCTCGGTGCCGGCCGGTCGAAGTACATTGGAAACAAACATTCCTTTTAATTATTATCTGTACCTGAGTACTTTGCCTACGTCGCGATATGTTCAACGACCAGCCAGTCGCGATCTAATCGTCTGACGCGAATACTGTGCCGCTTGCGCCTACGCCGAACTTTGCCCTTACGCATAACTAATATTATTTGAGTGTTCTTTCCTATTTTATGCAAGTGACTGTAAACTGTGCTTCCTGCTATCATCTCTTATCTATTTGTAATCTCATCTATCGCCTTCTGCTTCTTCATGTGAGACTGTTTCTATGTGTTGTGCCGTGAAATATATAACTGTCTAACCGTAATTTATTTGTTTATTCCGGCGACGGACTTACCATCAGGTACCTTATTTACATAAGTTAGTTTTGAATTGGTGCAGAAATGATCCATATTGATTGTTGTCACTTGGATCACATTTTATTCAAGAAAATTTTCTGCAAAAGCTCAAAATTATTTAACTTACTTAAATCACTTTAAAATGTATTATTAATTTATATATTATTACTTGCAAAAAAAAGTGTAGTAATAATGTTCCTACTAGTTTGCAAAAGAGTATTCACTTTAAATTCTATGACATGGATTGGAATGGACAAACAGCATGATTATGTACTACTGTAAAATTAAGTTTACCTAGAAGACGAAAAAAACGTGTTCAAAGAAGAGTCAGTCATAAGCATTATACCCGCAGTTACATTTTCTGTGAGAAAAAAGTTTGCAAGTCTTTCTTTCTCAAAGTGCTGCAAATATCTAACAAAAGGTTAGATTATGCCCTTCGAAAAAAGAAAGACCCCGAGACTAGTATGCCCATACCAGATCAGAGAGGTAAACAAGTGTCTGGTAATAAAATTAGAGACGAAGACAAAGATTTCTTTAAGCAAAACATTGAAAGTATTCCTCGTTATATGAGTCACTATGGTGAAAGATCTTCTAATCGCCAATATCTGGAACCAAATATAATTAAACGAACGCTCAAAAACGTCTTACCGCTTCAATCAACGGAGACGTCGTTCGACACAGTTCAACAACAATGACATATAATTTTTATTTAATATCACACAACACTTCAAACATCTAATCTAACCAACATGAGACTTGAAATTTGTCGTGTTGTGAGATTCGACTAGCGCCTGCAAAAACTTTATTTGGCTTATTTTGCAAAATGTAGAACAGCAAACAAAAAACCTGTTAAGCTTAGCTACTACAGAAACATTTTCAATACCTACAATTTGCATTTTTACCATGTGATATACTTGCAATTGAAATTCAAAATGAAAAGGATATTGAAAAATGTCTGGAGATCAAAGCAAAGCTAGCAGAACATCATCTTTTAGCTGCAACAGCCAGGTAATTGTTAGATTCATACAAAGTTAAACTGTTGCATGATGGCTCCTCATGTTTGATAACATTTGACTTACAACATACTCTTCCAACACCTCTAATACAAACAGATGAAGTGTATTATTTACGACAGCTACACACTTTGGAACTCATCTCTACTTACCTGATGGTGAAAAGATCAATATGAATATGTGGTATGAAAGTACTGGATGCAGGGGATCACAAGAAGTAATATCTTGTCTATACTATAATATCCTGCGTTGTGTTTCTGAAAATGTAACACATCTCTACACATTCAGTGATTCTTACACAGGACAAAACCGTAACTGGAACATGTTTCAGTCCATGATTTACATTGTAAATCATGTTGAACACATATTAAAGATAAATATTTGTTATCTTGTTAGTGGCTACTTTTTTCTGCCCAACGACTGACTTCTCAGATATTTCTAAAGCCCAAAAGAAAAAGCAGCACACATACACTCCACAAGAAAGGATGGACTTGATCCATAACTGTAGAAAGAGAAAACTATTCATGGTGACAGATACGGTTGTGATGTTGGTTTTACAGGATTAGAAAAAATTATGAGCAAAAAAGGGCAAAGCAGTATAATAATATTTCGTAAAGGAGATAGCAGAATTTACTTCAATGAAAAAAAAGGCATAATTAAATTTGGACAAGGGTGGTAATAGAGATATTTTTATAAATACCCTAAAGTCTTTCACACCAACTGAAAAAACATGTGCAAAACCACTCACATACAAAAAGATGCAAGACTTAAAGAAAATGCTGCACTATGTGCCACCCTGTCACCATGCATTTTTCTTAAGTTTACCTCATCTTATCAGGAGAAACAATGCAGCTGAAATGAAGAGGAAATGCTTCCTACTTTAGGTGATGAAAATGATTAGAAATAATTGTTTAGTTAGTAAAATATGGTGATTTTTAAATTAAAAGCTCTTTATTTAATTTCTGCAGCAACCAATATCACTTTTATGATAAAAACAGAAGTGATCCAAGTTCAATAAAATCAAAATAACTTTATTATTATTGCATAACTTATTACACATTTTTAGAAAGGGTTAAATTGGGTTAATATCTGTCACAAAACTTACACAATGGTAATAATGAATTAAATGCCATCACTTTAGCTATGAAAACGCGTTTTGCTCCATATCTCGAAATTTACAAAATGCTACTTGGATCACTTCTGTTCTCAGCCAGCCATATTATCCTTCATAGTTCACTGCTTCACAATATGTTGATTGATGCGTCACATTGTGCAGCCCTTGGGAGATTTTGACGGCAACTTGAGCCAGCAGACAGCTGGCAGTTGGCGATGGTATCTAAAGGCGCCTATGCAGACAAACAGCTTATCTTGAGAATTTATCACCATCAGAGCACTTGTTTCACCGTTTCCACTAATAGTTCATATGCGTAGACAGT